AACAGTGCAGCCCTGGTGAAGATCTCGAAGCGGCGCAGGGGACCGTAAAACAGTGCAGCCCTGGTGAAGATCTCGAAGCAGCGCAGGGGACCGTAACACAGTGCAGCCCTGGTAATAATATCGAAGCGGCGCAGGGGACCGTAACACAGTGCAGCCCTGGTGATCACCAGAAGGGGACCGAGACAGTGCAGCCCTTAAGGTGGAGATGGTGGAGTTCCATCTGCCTGGAAAGCGTCCGAGTTGCCCTTTTATAGGCAGGGTTGAAATGCGTGGGAGTACCTGCACAATGAAGTAACTTCAGGTGGGGTGCGTTCCAGTGGGGGTGAGCTTGGTGGGGTTGATATCGGCGCTGCCGAGGACAGCGCCCTCGAAAGGGTACTAGCGGAGCGCTTTGAAAGCTCCGCTACATTATTATAATTCTTATTAAATAAAGACGTTTGTATTTTTACATTTTAGGGAAAATGGGGCGACTCGTTTTTAATTTGATCAATAAAATATGTGAATGCAATCATGAATCACAAGTAGAAACTCATCATATTTTGCACATTTTGGGTAGAATTTAATTAGCAAAATTTTCCGATAACGTCATACATTTTTTGGGGAGAATAAACAGATTTATTTTGATCAACAAAGTACCATGCTTATTTTTAAACGTCTGCAAGATTTCAAAGCTTTCAGTATTACAATTCTTGATTTATTCAATAAAATAAACTGATTGATTTATTAATTTTTTTGTCACCCTGTATAAGCAAATCTAAAAAATATGAATGCAGTGATACATTACAAGTACCTATAGAATGATCATATTTTGCACATTTTAGATATGATTTATTCGGCAAAATTTTTAGATGACGTAATCAATTTTTTGGGGTTAATAAACAGATTAATTAAAAAGTTACCATGCTTACAATAACTGCAAAACGTCTGCAAGATTTGAAAATATTCAGTTTCGCAATTCTTGATTTAAACAATAAAATAAACTGACTCAGTCATTAATTTTTTTAAGACACCTTGTATAAGCAAATCTAAAAACTATTAATGCAGTAGGATGAGCAAATATGTATTGATCAAAAATTTATGATACTTTTCATAACTTTAAAACATCTCCAAGATTTCAAAGTATTCGATTTCGTAGTTCCTGATTAAATCAATAAAATAAATTCACGCATTCATTTTTTTGGTCACCCTGTATAAGCAGAGCCAAAAAATAATAATGGAATAATAAATCGCAAGTAAGTATATGCTCGTCATATTTTCCACATTTTAGATATGATTTATTCGGCAAAATTTTGAGCTGACGTCATCAATTTTTCAGAGGCGATAGGTAAATATATATTGATTAAAAATTTATCATGCAAAATGTTGTTTTTTAAGTTTCGGGTAAAAACTCGACACGTGGACACGTAGTAATAAACTACATGTGTTTGTGTATGTTGTTTTATACAATTTAAAACACATTTACTATGTACAATTTTGAAGTGACGTCATCACATTATTGGTTGGGGATGATTAGACAAATTTTGGTTAGCGTTTTGCCATCTACATGATATTCCTAACATAAATACAACATTTGACAATAATCGGCCCAGTACTTTCGGAGATTGTCTGTCTAATAAAAATCCGTGACGGCAGGCAGACAGACAGACAGACAGACGGACAGACAGACAGTCAGACAGATGGAAAAGGGAGACCTATTTTTCTTCATATTCTAGGGGTCAAGAAAGATCGAGAAAACGTAAAGTAGAGAGTCGGCCGACGGACTCCATTACAATACTTATACCCTTTAAATCCTGATTTAATGTCCTTCTGTGCCAATCCTTGCAGATTCCTTCCTCACGGGCACATCATAACAGTCACCTTTCACTAAAACCGAAACTAAATTATTTTTAACACAAATAAATCACATAAACCAAGTACACCGCACACAACCTCAAAGTCAAAACCGACTGCGACTAAATTCTTCGTAACACGAAAAATGAACAAAAAATTGTCGCCGATACCAAATTAGATGTTTTTTGCAGAGTTTTTATTCATCGATGCATCGCACAGCACATGAATCCTATTTAAAATACCTACTGCAACATTATTCATTAGCAGAACATAATTTTCGCGCTGTGTGGATGAATAAGAAATTACGAATTTTACATACAATTCATCAAAAACAAACTACAAAACTAGATTTAAATACTTCTTTCGAAAATATGTTTCTCGATGGATAATGATGACAGCACAGAATTCAAATTTTTTTCACCATATTTGCCAAAATACTGATTTAAAAGAGATTCATACCGGATGTTCCGACGGTTAAAGGACAAAAAATTAAACATCTGCTGTAGACTGTAGATAAAATTCTTCAACACAGTCTGACAGAACTACAATTTAAAAATATTTTCAAACATATAGGATGTTCCGTCTAACTTATATGTATAATAAAACCAGAAACCAAAGTAAATTTAAACTAGAAAATGAACTTTTAGTAAATACACGGTGAACTTCGAGTATTTACCTTTTTGTAAAATATTCAAAATTTTACAATTAAGTTGTACAATTTATCGTAGAAACTACTAAACCACTTGCATAATTCAAGCTTCAGTATTTTAAATGTTTACTTACAACATTTCAACACTGGTTAGATTGTGCTTTAACGGAGGGGGAATCTCTGCCGAAATAATTTTAGACGAATGAGTGGCTTATCTTGATCAAATTATGTAAAGAAAAGTTTTCTGAGCATAGTTTTCCTTAGCATCTTTTACAAATTGTTTGCCCTTTTTCGTTGAAAATTCTCATACAGACCTGCATAAACGAAAGCAACAGAAGCAGCTACTATTGAGTTCGGTTAGTATATGCAACACACAATACAACTTCCAACTTTCGAGAGATTAAATTGGTTGGAGTAGAAGTTTATACTATGAACATTTTTGTTATTCTTAAGTCTGTGGTATTAAGAATAACATAGAAAAAAAAACAATTCTGTATTTCTACAAACAATTGTGTTTCTTTAAAACCAACTATACAAGCTTTAAGTCTACCTTAAACGTTTTCAACACCTAATAGCACGCTTTTTATATCATAAACGAGAACTATACATTTTTAATTATTCTCTTTTGTCCGACAGCTGTATTACAAGCAGCAAATGAGTCAGGAGCATACATGTTTATCAAATGGACATAAATTACTGAAAATTCAAGTCGTAAAAATGACACAAATAGTAGTAAATCTATTCATAATTAAAAAAAAAATAGGAGCATAAATAAATGAAGCGTAAACACAACAAAGATTAATAATGTAACTACGTTTTACAACGCAGTTATAAAGATAGAAACGTATTTTCCTTGCGCAGATCAATATCAGAGTATAAATTTTATGAATAAATTCTACCCCAATCGCTAAATTAGTAATCAACATGATTGTCTCTGTAATCCCGTTGTTAAATAAAATCACAGATTTCAGAATAATACCACATTTAAAATCGATTTTACAAAATCACTTTTTCTTTCAGTCCTAAATGCTGTTTGATTGTTTTTGAACATTTAAGTATTCGGTTTTCGCCAGTTTTTGCCGAAATGTGTAATTTGTGCTATTTTTACGTTGTTTATAAGTAGGTCAGTCAGGTAAATCAAACAGCGGGGATACAAAAAGTTAATTTAAAAAAAAAAAAGAGAAAAACTAAAATGACATGAAAATGGAGCAGTTTTTGACATAGCTTTGAACTACAGTTTCTACGAGTATTAGCACCATTACGCATTCATGTTCATTTTGTTCCTCATTTGAGCTTTTTATCCTTCTACTAGTTCTTTTTCATCCTTTTGCATTCTATTTGATCTAGATTTTCTTTTAAACCGGGTCGAATTAAGTTCTTTTTTATTTTTGTTTTACCTAAACTATTACTCGTTTAAATCTTCATAAATGTAGACAATTTTTGATCAGCTTGTATACTTTCTGAGACGACTTTCTGCCAAAATTACGTTCTGGTAAATTTCGCCACTGCAAATTTTTGTACTTATTTCCTTATAATAGGAATTTCGGCTTGAACGTATTTAAGAACCTCTTGTACACCTTTTACAGTTCAACAGTTAGATTTTCCTGTATACAAATTTATATTTTAAAAGTAAATTATAGAAAAAAATCCTATGATGACGGTAAATGCCCCCATCATTCTGTTATTTTAAAAGAAAATTTGTTGTTACAACAAGTGGCTAAATTTTACATTTTTCCACTTGCAATAATTGCAGATAAGATGTCGTGAAAACATAATGTGCAATAAAATCGGGTAGAGGACAGTAGCGTAACAGAAAAATAAAAACTTCTTTTTTCTACATCCTGGCACTTATTGAACAAAAACACGTACTGCTTGCTGCTTTCCAATACTCCAATACATTCATATTCCTCTGACACACATAAATCAATATGAAAATATTTTCAGTGTTAGCGGAGGTGTGTGCTCTGAATTCACTTAGATTTATAAATTTTTTTACGATTTTCCAACCTTACTACCTCATGCAGATTAAGTTTACAGTAGTAAATAGCAATAAAATATATGATCAAAGGCAACCCTGGATTTTTGACAGTTTATCTTTGATCGTTGCATTTTCAACTCAAATTTTTTTATTTGACGATAATTTGCAAGACGAAAATTAAAATTGTTTTTCTCTAGTCTCTTTTTTTACACAATTTATAAATTTTCGGTTTCCAATATTTTTCCACCAGACTATGTCCAACCAAGTCCAGTTTTGTCAAAAATTACATTTTTTACAATTTAAAACTAAATACCCGTAAATTTTCAGCTAAATAAGTCAGTGACCATCATTCAAAGTCAAGATAAACTGGAGATATATATTTGCCAGTCATTTACTCTTCGACATCAGTGAATACTTCAAACAAATACAATCCAAGCATGCTGACTATTGCCTTGTCTACTGCTCACTGACCCTACGAACCTTTCATTACATTTATTTTGACGGCAACTGTACACCATTTATCATTTAACCACTGACAACAAAGAAGTGGTCAGTGCGTTGTTTGTACTAATCTAAGAATAGACTCATTACAATCCATCAAAATGTTTTCATTAGTGTGATAACAGATATGTTGCTACGCTGATTAGAAAAATATTTTCACAGCGCAAATGTATTCACTCGTTCACCATGTTTAAGATGATACTACTCACCGTATTATTCCTCTCGGGATTTTGTATTAATTGTTATTTTTGTGCGGCAATTAGAGACGAGGCACCGCAGTGTGGTTACCAAGTGAGTTATTATTTATTAGTGTAGTTTTTTTTTTTCAATTAGTATAATAATTTTTAGTCTTGTCATCCACTAAAAGATGGTTTCATCAACATCCATCTCGTCCCGCACACCCACGATGATGTTGGTTGGCTAAAAACCGTAGACGAATACTACTACGGTGCCAACAATTCCATCCAAAATGCCGGCGTTCAATACATTATCGATTCTGTTATTGACGAACTCAAAAAAGACACCAACAGAAGATTTATTTATGTGGAGACGGCGTTCTTCTGGAAATGGTGGATCCACCAAGACGATTACGTTAAACATCAAGTCAAAACTTTTATCAATAATGGCCAGTTGGAGTTTATCGGAGGCGGCTGGACCATGAATGATGAAGCTGCAACCCATTATCAATCCACTATTGATCAAATGACATGGGGCTTAAGGTACTTGTTTTTGCTTGTACGAAATATATCTACTTTGTTTCGCTTCTCTCAGGAAACTTAACGACACATTTGGTGAATGCGGTCGTCCCAAAATTGGATGGCAAATTGATCCCTTCGGCCACAGTCGTGAAATGGCGTCAATCTTTGCCCAACTGGGCTTCGATGGGTTATTCTTGGGTCGCATAGATTACCAAGATAAGGAAAAAAGGTTTACCAGCAAAACCCCCGAGATGGTTTGGAAGGGCAGTGCCAATTTAGAAAAAGCTGACATATTTACCGGAGTCTTGTACAATAATTACGCACCCCCAAGAGGTTTCTGCTTTGATATTCTATGTGAAGACGAACCTTTAGTTGACGATAAGAGAAGCCCACTTTATAATATCGAACGAAAGGTGAATTACCTTTTTTGTGTAAACAAATCTGTATTTTGATTTTTTAGGTTGACGATTTCTTTGCATACCTAAAAAATGCGTCTGAAACTTACACCACACCTAATGTTCTTCTCACCATGGGAGAAGATTTTAATTATCAAGATGCACACACTTGGTTCAAAAATTTGGACAAACTCATCTAGTGAGTGTTGTAGTTCAGTACGAACTAATACTCACGCCATTGATTTTTGCAGCTATGCAAACCTGAGACAAGCAAATGGTTCAAAATACAACCTCATCTATTCAACGCCTTCTTGCTACCTTAAAGCTGTTCACGACGCTAATCAAAAGTTTGTTGAAAAAACAGACGACTTTTTCCCGTACTCTTCTGATGGTAACTCCTTCTGGACTGGGTATTTTACATCAAGACCCACTTTGAAACGCTTTGAACGTCAAGCTAACAATTTCCTACAAGTGTGTAAACAAGTTTATGCTTTGGATGATTTGGGACCTGAAGATTGGGTCGACTTAAACTCTCTGAGGGAAGCCATGGGTATCATGCAGCACCATGACGCTATTACTGGTACAGAAAAACAACACGTGGCAGACGATTATGCCAGAATTTTACAGGAGGGGATTAACGAGTGCCAATTTATTGTAAACAGTGCGTTAAGGTAGCAATTACCACACCTAAATTCCAATATCACTAAATTTGTTTCTTTTCTAGTGAAATTATTACGGGTGAAAACAATACAGATCCGGAACCAGCCCCCAAAATCGCCATCAATTCATGCTGGTTCACCAACATAAGTTCTTGTCCTTATACTGAAAGTCAAGACAATTTTGTAGTGACGGTGTATAACCCCTTAAGCCGACCTGTCATCAAGTACGTGCGCCTTCCTGTATTAGGAGAAGCCTATTCGGTTTCAGATCCAAAAGGAAATGATATAGAGGTTCAGTTAATTCCTATTGCCGATCCCATTTTGAAAATCCCAGGACGGGAGAGCAAAGCCACAGTTGACCTAATTTTTGTAGCCGAGGAAATTCCCCCTCTTGGGTTCAAATCATACTCAGTAACTAAACAAGACGGAAATATGATCAGTAAACCGGAAGATATCACAGAAATCACAAGTGGTGACGGGGTGGTAGGATTCGGCCTTGATCCTCAAACAGGACTACTAAACAGAGTTATAATGAACGAACAAGCAATTCCAATCAGCCAAGAATTTCTGTTTTATGAAGGAAATGTTGGAAATAATGAGGTTCCTACAAATAGATCATCTGGGGCATATATTTTCCGGCCAATTCCGGGCAAAAACGCTACTGCTGTAGCTGATAAAGTAGATTTTTCGGTGTATAGAGGTAACATTTTATCGGAAGTTCATCAGGTCTTTGACGACTGGGTTAGTCAGATTATCAGGATTTATAATAAAGAGAAGCTTATAGAATTCGATTGGTTGGTCGGTCCGATTCCTGACAAGTAAGTCACAGTTTTGTGAACAATCAGATATTATTCGGTTCTTTTTAGAGATGTCAACGGAAAAGAGATTATTACCCGCTTTACAACAGAACTTTCCACTAACTCAGTCTTCTACACGGATTCAAATGGACGAGAAATATTAAAACGCGTGCGTAACTCACGTCCAACGTGGACTCTTAACCTTCAAGAACCCGTTGCTGGAAACTACTACCCCATTACCTCCAAGATAACTCTGGTGGATGAAGCTAAAGATTTGCAGTTGTCAGTTTTGACAGATCGTGCTCAAGGAGGCAGCAGGTATTTTCAAAATAAATCCTTTAATATGACAAACGAGACATATGTTTTCTAGTTTAAGAGATGGTGAGCTGGAGCTCATGGTACACCGTAACTGCCTCCACGATGACGCTTTTGGAGTAGCTGAAGCTCTCGTAGAAACAGCATTTGGTGCAGGTTTAGTTGCCAGGGGATCACATTATCTGGTTTTGGGTCCTCATGCAAATACAACAGGTGACGTTAGTACAAGCGCCCAAGAACGTGACATAGCCCAGAGAAAAATCCTAGATTCTTGGGTACTCATTTCGTCGCCTTACAACGACACCAAGTACCTAAAACAGGTAGGTCCAGAAGATGGCTCATTTATAGACATTTTCTAGAAAAACATCGTATGTATTGCAGTATTCGGGACTGAAGCGATCTCTACCCAACAACGTCCAAATCTTAACCCTCGAGCCCTGGAAAGGTTTCAGCTTCCTACTGCGACTTGAACATATTTTAGAAAAAGGAGAAGACCCTAAACTATCGCAACCGGCCGTCATTGATCTACGCAATTTATTCGGTCCTTTTGAAATTTTGGACATTCGAGAGACCACTTTAGCCGGCAATCAGTGGTTGGACCAAAATGAGAGATTAGAGTTCCAAACTGTTGACGATAGCGGACGGAAAAGCGGAAAACGAGCAGCTGTAATTCAAGCACTCGACGATTATCAGATCACCTTGAATCCGATGCAAATCAGAACTTTTGTGATTGAGATTCAGAAGAATTGATTGTTTGTGTACACTTGAAAATACCTACTCTAAACGATAAGCTAGAGATATCTAAACTGTTACTAGGTGTGAAGTTTTAACAATAAACGTATAAATAAAACTTCGTTGTTTTGTTGTCCCATAATGAAAGTGCCGTCCACACGGACAGAGAAGAATCTTCGAGGTTTCGCTTTTTTCTTGATACAGATGACGTTGGCAGTGCTCTTGTTTTTACTTTTTTGTGTGTTAAGCGCTGGTGGTAAACCAGTGGTTGACGACGATCCGGTTTGCGGCTATGATGTAAGTATACAGTGTGGAAAAGGGCTTTGAAAATTTGAAAACGTTTTTGGAAGGCTTGTCCGGAGGCAGGATTGGATACTTTGAATGTACATCTTATACCACATTCGCATGATGACGTGGGATGGCTCAAAACACCAGACCAATACTATTTTCAAGGTATGACGACTTTTTCTACTTTGAAATTTTATCATGAAAGCAACGGGGTCGTTGAAAATTTACTGGATTTGTACTTTTTCAAATTCGATTTATTTCTAATTAAAATCTCAAGCTTCATTATTATTATTTATCAGTTTTATAGTTTTCTCTATTTTGTGATCGATTTCAGACGTACAGCTTGTAATCAGTTCTGTGGTTGATGCCTTGAAGCAAAATCCCGACAGAAAGTGAGAAAGACACTCTGTTACAGTTAGAAATATTTTTACACATAATTTGTCATTAGATTCGTCCAAGTAGAGACAGCTTTCTTCAAGCAATGGTGGGCTCAACAAAACGACCGCGTCAAAGAAGCTGTCCAGAACTTAGTAAACAATGGTCAATTTGAATTCATCAACGCTGCGTGGAGTATGAACGACGAAGGAGCTGTCCACTACCAGTCGACCATCGACCAATTTACTCTTGGTACGAGTTCGTTCAGTATTTATACTTTTACCGCTTACTTCACCCCAAAATAGGTCTCCGTTACATACAAGACAACTTCGGAAAATGTGCTCGTCCCAAAGTTGCGTGGCAAATCGATCCCTTCGGCCACAGTCGGGAACAAGCATCCATCTCTGCACAAATGGGTTTCGACGGTTTGTTCTTCGCCCGCTTGGACTACAGAGACAAGAACCGTCGTCTGAATGACAAAACCATGGACTTGCTATGGAGAGGAAGTGCTAACTTGGGCAACGCTTCAGATATTTTCACGTCGGTTTTGTACAGTCATTATAGTGCACCAGGGGGCTTTTGTTTCGACATTGTGTGTAACGATGAAGTTATCATTGACGACGAAGAAAGCCCTGACTATAATTTGGAACGTCGAGTAGATGACTTCGCTAATTACATAAGAGGTGTAGTTGAACACTATCCTACTAACAATGTTTTAATTACTATGGGTGATGATTTTCGTTACGAAGCAGCAATGACTACCTATATGAATCTTGATTTGCTTATCAAGTGAGGTTTGTTTTATGCTGTAATATTTGTTATGACTTTGGTTAAATTGTAGGGGTTTTGAGAAGTTCGAACAAACTTATAATGACCAACGAATCAAAGTGTTTTATTCTTCACCATCTTGTTATACTAAAGCTGTAAACGACTATGTGACTACTAATAATTACAATTTAGAATTGAAGACCGACGACTTTTTCCCTTATGCTGACGGTTCTAATACCTACTGGACTGGATACTTCACCTCAAGAGCGGCTTCTAAGCACTTCGAACGTCAAAGCAATACTTTATTACAAGTATAACGTTTTAAGATTTATAAATTGCTGATAAATGGTTCTTAATGATTTATAGGTTGCAAAACAACTGGCTGTTGACGTACAAGAATCATACGATAATGCAGCTATAAATTCTTTGAAGGAAATTATGGGTGTAATGCAACATCATGATGCCATTACTGGAACCGAAAAACAGCATGTGGCCAACAACTATCATTTCCTTCTAAGTAAGGCAGTAAAAAATGTCAATGATGAAGCTGGACAAATTTTGTCGTGAGTATTACTATCTTACATAATAATGGCTAAATTCTACTAAGAAAAATAAATATAGAACCCACTAGACACTCTCTTGTTCGATAGCTATCTCTGTCACACAAAAAAGTAGCTGCGCTACGTCACAAAAACGAGCTCGCTATACGATAAACTATATTTAGAAAAAATACCACTTCTTTCTATTTAGTCGCCAAAATAGAACATTGTCATTATTTGAAGAGTTATAGAAAAGCGTCCTTGTTTGCAAATGAATTTTCAACTTATTTAACCCAGTTGTTCAGTCAGATTGTAACCATTACAAAAATAACTTTATTTTTCAGAACTTTGATTAGTGGAACTGACGAGAACTTCGAATTTGACTCTTGCCTCACCGCCAACGTAAGCGCTTGCAGTCAAACTCAAGGCGACAAGTTTACTGTGGTGGTTTACAACCCCTTGAGCCATAAAGTCACGGCTCCCATTAGTCTTCCATCATACGACAAGACAAACTGGCATATTTTGGACCCGGATGATAACACAGTTGATTACCAAATTGAAAATTCACTAATTGATTTCAGTTACGTGGATGATGCTCAAACTTCAAAAACTACTATTCAGTTTAGTGCAAAAGACGTACCAGCTATGGGTTTCAAAGTCTACCGCGTAGAAGCGAATGCTTTGCAACATAAAGTTAAAAAACCGCCTAATCCACGCGTGTTGGTGGGATACGATGTAAGTATACAAAACTTTAAAATGTCACACTTTAAGCTTGTTTTTTCAAGGATACCAGTTTTGAAATTAGTGAGGAAACAGGTTTATTACAAGCTGTGACCATGAACGGTGTGAGGTTAGAAATAACGCAAGATTTTCAATACTATTCGAGTCAGGATAGTTCAGGTGCTTACATTTTTGTCCCAGTATATGATCAAATATCAAGAATTGCAAACGGACCCATCAGTACAACTCTTGTAACCGGTAGTGTTTCACAAGGAGTCTTACAAGACTTTGGTAGTTGGGGAAAGCAATTTATTAAAGTTTACAACGACGACAGAAGTTTCATCGAGTTTGACTGGATAATTGGTCCACTAGATATAAGTGATGGAGTTGGAAAAGAGGTGATCAGTAAATTCACCACTTCTTTGGCGACTAATGGAGAATTCTATACCGACTCAAACGGTCGCGAACTCCTGAAAAGAACAAGAAACTCACGACCCGACTATGACTACAGCGATGAACAGCCGGTTTCCGGTAACTACTACCCCGTAAACAATAGAATCGTTATACGGGATGCCAGTCAAGACATAGAATTGGCGATTATAACAGACCGGTCGGAAGGAGGAGCTAGCATCAACGATGGCGAAATTGAACTGATGGTACACAGAGCTTGTCAACACGACGATGGCAGAGGTGTAGGAGAAAATTTGAATGAGCAAGAATACGGAACTGGAAACCGAATCAGGGGTAAACATTTCTTAGTCGTGGGCCCTACTTCTGGAAACGGTAATTTTTGATCTTGTTTACCATATTTGTGTAACAGTTTTGGTTAAATTTTAAGGAGAGAAATCACTGGCTGCTATTGAAAGAGACGTAGCCCAGCGAAAGAGTGTGCAAGCGTGGTCTTTCGTCACTAGTAAAGATGTATCTGGAAGCCTCAACACGCTACAATTTAGTGGCTTGAGAAGTGACGTGCCTGATAATGTCAACATTTTGACTTTGGAACCGTGGGATGATGGAACTGTGCTGTTGAGACTGGAGCACACTTTAGAGAAGGGTGAAGATGAAAACATGTCCCAAGAAGTGACTGTTGATGTTTCGGTAATTTTTTTATATATTAATGACAATCTTTGAAGTTTGTATTCTACAGGAGTTGTTCACGCTGTTCACCATAACAGAGTTACAAGAAACAACATTAGGGGCCAATATGCTGCTCGAAGAAAATGTTAGATTGCAGTGGCCCGGAAGTGCTATTGATGATAAGGTTTCTCCAACCAAAAGGGATGTTGCCGACCTGGCCATAACTTTGGCGCCGATGCAGATTCGAACCTTTTGGGCAAAAGTAACCTACACATAATAATCGCTGTACCACAGTTTGTCAAACCAATAAAGTAGTTACTAGCAAAACAAACTTTTTCTTACAACAACATTAATTCTATAATAGCTTTAAAATTGGTCTGAATTTATTTTCCTCGTAACTCAAAGCAAATCTTCAAACAATAACACTGCATACAATACATATCTTTATTTTAACTTACAGGGGTTCTTATAACAAAAATAAAATTCCGAAAATCAAATTTTATATAAGTTTTCGAAGAAGCTAGTAGGTATGTTTTGTTGCACTTCAGTGGCGAGGGAATAATCATGATAAAGAGGAAAACATAGATTATAAAATTCTTCAGTTAACTACTAGAAAAAAAAAATGGACGAAAGTTATTTCGACAGGACTTCTCTCGTACATTTTTTTCCTGATTTTTGTAGTGGCTGTTTTTCTGAGTTCATTAATGTATTATATTTTAATTACCCATGCCCTGCCACTTCACATTCGAACGCGTTATGTAACAAAAACACACTTGTTTATATTTCCTCTAGAGTGACCGAGACAGGAAACGGATTTACAATAACTCCAAAATATAAATACATATGTTGATAAAGATAAAGTCTATAGGTGTAATTCTGTAAAAACTTGTTAAATTTAAAAGGTGTCAAATTGCAAATTTTCACAGTCACGGGTTAAATTCGTAAATCTGGTTGGCGGTTTATTTTTAACAACATCGATAGACAATTGGCCTATTATCCCTGCGTAGAGAGTTTCCCCGTTTGAAAATGTTTCGATCAACATTATTTCAGCAAGGACACATCTGTCTGTACCGACAAGTAGTGTAATAATAAAACATGGAAGTGTACTGTTCTTGAAATCTGAACAACAAAAAAAGTAATAGATAATGGCAGTAATAACATAAAAAACAAAAAATTCTATACGATATTCGAACGGTAAACCATTTTCGCGTTACATGTTTGAAACCCAACACTTGACAGACGCTTATAATCAACGCGCGGAATTGTGTTTCATACGCTCGATCCAGTGCTGTCGCGGCGATAGTTTGATTACAAATATATTTTTCTTTTGGACTATATCAACATAATATAACATTTCAGGATCAGAAATCTGTGGTCATGTGTTTGAAAAATTAAAAAGGGCATCGAGTATTTTTATTTGAAGTAATATAGTAATATAGAAGTAGTTTTTTAACAAGCTGTAAACACTCCTAGCGACGCACTGGCTACGACCTTGTGGACCAGATCAAAGCGTCCCCGCTACTCGCCGTAAAACACACCTTGCTTCAACTGGGGAATTGCATCCGTAAGATATTTTTCCGCCTAGTGCTTATAATAGTATAACCGTTTGCGGTATAATTTCGATTTTTTTGAGAAAATCTGGATGTTGTGAGGAAAATCTGAAGACGGATTCATAAAGAACAAGTAGGTATATTATTGTAGAAAATTTAAACCCTACTTACTATGAAAAATTTTGAGAAGTTGTCATTACGTTGTTGGTAGGGATGATTAAAAAAATTTTGGTTACTATTTTACCATCTACATGGCATTCCTAATATACGAACAAAATTTGGCAACAATCGGTCCAGTGGTTTCGGAGATTACGTGTCTAATAAAACACCAGACAGACAGACGGAAACGGGAGATTACTTTTTTCGTACTCTAGGGATCGTGAAACGTCGAGATAATGTGAAAGTAGCTATTTGTCAGATGGACTCGATTAGCTTACGCTCGGGAAGTCATAATTATCTTTTATTATTATACCTTATAGACATCTTATTTATGAAATAAGAATTTTAATTAAAGAGTTAAAATTTGGACCCGGGAGGAGGTATTAATGTGGAAACAAAAATGGAATAAAGCAAGAATCGAAAAATTTTGGAAAATTTAATTCCAATTATCCTAACACAGTATAGCAGGTTGGTGTTTAAATAAAGAAAACAATAACCAGTGGCGGCTTCTCGGGGTGGTCAGGGTGGGCAATGCCCACCTTATTTGATTGTTTACGATACGAAGTAAAATATAGATTTTTTTTTCTTTTTTAAATTCTTTTATATGTATACACAAATAATTATCGTCATAAACATCATTTAAGCCAACGGATTTTCTTCATTACATCCCGCAGTATAGAGGTAATTATTTTTATGACTCTACTGAAATATGGGTAAGGTGGTAAGGAAAATTATGTTATGCGAAAATTCTTGAATACTATTGTTATAGCAAAGAGCAACACGATAATAATTAATAAATACTTTTTCATATCAAATAAAAATTTGTAATAACCATATTCTTGTATTATGACACCGTGTAAACTTTATAATGAATTATAAATTTAAAAATCCGAATAACCAATGATGCGAATAAGTAATGCATTTATTATTGCAGTACGTATTTGACATGTGTATTTTTTTATTATTACATATGCATTTTTGTTTCATAAATATAACTGTAGCAGAGTCAACAAAAGTTAAATATACGCTTAATTTATTATTTAATTCAGACTGTCCGCACAGGTTTGTTACGCGTTCGCTCTTATATGGGTGGGCAAATCCACCCTGAAAATCTGGAGCATTCGACATGGTTCGTCCTCGTCGGAGACACCACTCAATTGAATTCAGTCAGATCAGAAACTGCATTATGGATAGTGCATTTCATTATAAAATGTAGCTTATTCAAATTACCAAACGGTCAGGCGCAGGGCCGGCTCTAAGGGACCAAGCGCCCCGCTGCAACTTACTGTTCAACGCCCTTTAAAATTGTTTAAAAAAAAAACAAACAAAGTTTTGTAATCACATATTTCTGTAGAGAGATCAACCTTAATATATAAAAGTTTTTGTCATAGAATACCCTCTCTATAGAACACGATCTCTAATGCTTTTATGTTGGTCACAATGTCAGCATCTACTAGTTGGTCGGGAACTAAAACTGGCGCTAAATTTGAAAGCGAATTTTTAAGGTGAATTTTTTATAATTGAAGGGAAAAATATGGTTTGTGTATTTTATGTTAGTTTCAAAACGTGTAAATACGTTTTGAAGCTGACATATAAAAAACACAAACAGTATAAAAAAAGTAGATAAAATATTTGATATAGTATATTTAAAACTTAACATTCAGTTGTAAATGTAAATACAATAATAACAACAAGAAATAAATAAATGCAATATTGATAATATCATTAATATCCTAAAAATATCTCAGGAGAAAATTAGAAAAGTAAGCAAAAGTCAAACAAAATAGTGCAAAATAAAATAACATTTTAAATATTAATTTATGTTCAAAATTGATAACAAAATATGTTTCCCAGGGACGAACAATGATGTGTCCTAATCCACTTGTAATATTGAAACAATTTCAAAGTTATTTTTAATTTAGACTTACCTCAATGTTATTCAAAATTAAAATTTAAAATTACTGATGACAAAGAGCCACGAAATAATACACAGAACCAAATTCGACTACGAATCGGAACAGTGAAAAATATAACAAAACTGAACAACCACCACAACCAGCCGACTAGACTTGGAAAATAAAATTTTTAAGTTTGTGCCGACAAGAAGTTTTATGGTACCAACAAACGTGACAAATGTTAGAAAAACACCTGGTTTTGGTAGTACCTCTGTCTCGTCAAATTGTTACCCAGATAATGACAAGCATAAATCTGGTATTTTTTGACGGTATTGATCTAAAGGTCAATCACCCAACCCAAAGGCGCACTTTTTTTCAATTATTACAGTCAGAAAGTGCCAGGAATTGAGTTCTTATGACCTATTTTGGTGAACCACTCCCCATAGTGGAATGTTAAAATGTAGCTTTTTCTGAAAAGTTTTCGATGGGCGCCTTGGTCTGTTCCTGCTATAATATTTTGTACGTAGTGATTCAATGCAGATCTAATACTCCTATTAATTTATTTCTATGGAGTTAACACAAAAGCATAAGCGCCGCCCGCTGCCCGGTGCCCCTTGTCATGGGCGCCCCGATGCGGTGCATCTTTCGCTTACCGTGTTAAGCCGGCCCTGGTTAGGCGGGTACCAAAGTAGGTACTTTTTTACTTTTTAGCAATTTTTTTTAATGGCAAATCCGACTGTAAGCTGTGCAAATATTTAATATTAGAGAGGTGGTAAAGAAGGTATTAAAGACATTGAGTTTATGTTTTTAATAAATAAATTCAGTAGTATGGAACTTCATGTTTATGAATTATTTGTTTATAATTTAAGATCATGTCCCAAAATGAAACAATTGGTCATCACAAACTCTCGTGGCAGTAATAAAGGCTTTAATCAAAATTCAGACAATAAAGATTACCTATTGGCTGATCGGTAGTGAAACAAAAAATCTGTTGGAATTGTCTGCTATTTAACATAAAATTAAATTACGAACACTTTATAATTCCACAAGAAGAGCGATATAAAATATATCGCTACTGGTTTACAAAAACATGACCAATCTGAATAAACGAAAATTACTTGGAAAACGAAGTGAAACTAGAAAATTCTCTTAAATTCGGCGTTTATTCGATATGATAATTTTCTTGGCTACACAAAAATATACATTTCGGGGACAAGATGAATCGCAACTTTCTCTTAAAGTAAATTCGATGATAAATTTAAAAAGTTTTTGGAGGAGTCTTTGGTAATTAGTGGTCTTCAGAACGATTATTTTGGAATTATTTTTATTTTATTTGTTATTGTTAACTTTGTTAGTATTTTGAGAATTTATTTTTTGTTTCATTTGGCATTTTTAATTTTGTGTTTACAATAATTTTCTAAATTGCTGCTTTTTTTAAGTGTAGCTTATCTCAAAGGTTTAAAATTTAACGTTTTCTCGTCATGTTATTTCAAAATCTTTACATGTTGGGATCATTATTTGAGTTTATAGTTCTATAAACTCCTAACAAATCCATTTATGTGCTGAACCTTTTTTTTTGCTCCTCTTTCCTCTTCTAGCAACAGTCTTCGACGTTCTCGTTGGTTCTTGCTGAACGACATTGTAAGTAACATTTATAAAATAATATACATATATGTAATATACATAAATTATTTGTTATATTATATTGATTGACATGCAGCACCAAA